GAGAGAGAGAGAGAGAGAGGGTCGACCACACCACCGCGCGCAGAGAGAAATGAATGAGTTGTCATTGTCGCAAATTGCTGACATTCACGGTCTAAAAATAGAAATAGCCATGTGACAAGTAAAATACTATTACGGCGTTAGTGAAACAAAGGTGACATCACTCTCTTGCTCATGGGCAGCGTGGTTCTCTTGCTTTTATTGGCTCCTTTCTCTGGTCTGGCTCCAGTGGTCCACCCTCTCTCTTTTACACCTTTGATATCCCTGTTTGATCGTACCAGTTTCTTATACATTCTCTAGCCATTCTTGCCCACTACCTTCCTTCTCTGCGCTTACCCACTGCCCTCTTCTCTCTCTCTCTCTCTCTCTCATTTTTTTTATCGCGCCAGTGAACGCAACTGAATCGACCGACACGACCGATCAAGGTACGCTCGCACCTGCCATAGTGGGCGCTGGTGGCGCCCTCTGGCGTTCATGCTGGACGCCCTTGTTATGTTGATATGGTACAAATGATGTGTCTGGTTTGTTTTGTTGGTGGCCTTTGAGCACGAGATGGCACATGGCTGGGATGGGCTCCACGTCGCTCGCCTGCTCGCTCTTCGTCTTCTTCTTCTTCTTCTTCTGCTGCTGCTGCTGCTGCTGCTTCTTCTTCTTCTTCTTCTTCTTCTCGTCCTTGTTTTCGCTCCGACGTGATGCTCGCCTTTTGGTTTTGTTTTTTGTGCGTCCCTGCGTAACCTCATGCTGGCTCATGTCGTCGCTTCTTCACTTAGATGGCCAACGCTCTGGAGAAGCTCAAACAGTACACCAAGGTGGTCGCGGACACGGGTGACTTTGATAGTGCGTTGACCCACCCCCGTTCCGCGCCCGCTACGTTCAATGCTTTCTGACCGTAAGCAACGCCTTGCTACGGCAGCCATCAAGGAATTCCAGCCCCAGGATGCTACTACGAACCCCTCGCTGGTGTACAAGGTTCGACCATACTTGTCCTCGTGCAGTGGCTGCCTAGTTGCTGTGAATCAGAAGGTTAACACTCCCGTTTCTGGCGTTTAGGCTGCGCAAATGAAGCAGTACTCCAAGGTTGTGGACAAGGCCATCAAGTATGCCAAGGAAAATGCCTCCAGCAAAGATGAGCAAGTTGAGCTCGCCTCGGACGCTCTCTTTGTTGGCTTCGGCACTGAAATCCTCAACATTGTTCCTGGCCGCGTCTCGACTGAGGTGGATGCCCGGTATGTGATCAGCATATCAGTGTGCGCCAGAGCAAGGCTATGACTTTTGATGCATTGAAAGGAACAAGACTTCCCACCTTTCTCATTCATGCCACACTGCCAGCCTTTCCTT